CTGGCAGTAGCTCCTGGACGGGGACAGGCCCTGGCTAGGATTCATAGGTTGGAAGGGACCTCCGAAGATCGTGGGGCACCAGGCAGGAGAAATAGGTGGGGTCAGGCGACCCACTAAGGTGACTGCCCAGTCGCCTCTTGATGATGCGTTTGGGGATGGTCCTAGACTAGAGGACTAGATCAGTGGTTCTCGACCTTTTTTGACCAGGACCCATTTGCAAATATCAATGACCAATCCCGATCCCCAGCCCCTGGCCCCCCAGGGTCCCGGGCATGGCAGGGTGGGGGGGGACGACAAGCAGCCCCTGGCAGGCTGGAGCTCTGCCCTCCTGCAAGGAGAAAGCTACCGTTTCCCACGCTTTTCTCTTTTAAAAAGAGAATCCATTTTTGAAGTCTGATCCATTATTTTTTAAGTTTGTTCACAACCCTTTCATATATTCCTTGCAACCCACTTTTGTGTCGTGACCCACGGATTGAGAAATGACAGAGTAGGTGACCTCTTGAGGTCATTTCCAGCCCTGTGGAATAAGCTGCCTCCAGAGGTGGTGCAATCGCCTACCCTGGAAATCTTCAAGAGGAGACTAGACGGTCACCTTGCTGGAATCACCTGACCCCCAGTTATCTTTGCTGCCTGGTGCAGGGCACTGGACCCAGTGATCTTCCAAGGTCCCTTCCGGCTTTATAATCTATGAATCGAATTGTCTGTGATTCTGTTTTCTCTGGGTACTGCAAGGGGCTCCCATGTTCAAGGTGTATGCCTTTATGGACAACCATTCAACAGAGAATCAAGCACTTAACATTTACTTGTGGGGGGGAACCCCAAACAAAAACCCACAGGGTGCAGCCCCATGAGTGCGCACATGCAGGCATGTGGATTTCCACCCCCTTCCCCGCACTGCTCTCCTACCCCGTCTCTTCCCCATTTGACTTGTTTAAACTTCAATTTGTAGCTGGGCTTCAGTGAAATGTATGCTCCTGTAGCTGTTTGGCTGCAATGGTGTGATGTGAGGTCTCTTCCCACCCCATTTTCTTATGATCCCTGTGATGTCTTGGAGACCTGTTAGATGCCAGAGTAGAAATGGAACCAGTGGTTCTTGAGCATCAGATGGTTTTGGAAACAAAGTCCCTTCTCAGTAGCATTAGAAACAAATCTCCCTTTCTGCTACACAGTGGAAGACCCAGGTGAAAGAAACAGCATTGCTTGTGCTAGGCAAAGTAACTGGATTTTTTTTGTGTGGAATGTTTCTATCTATTTATTTATTTATTTATTTATTTTTTTAATAGAAGCAATCCCAGTCACTAGCTGTGATTTCCCCGCCCCCCCCAAACCGTTTACTTTCTTTTAATAAGATAAGAACTGTACTAACAGCATGCTTTTAGTGTCCAGTCTGCTGGACTGGCTGGTCAGATTGTCTTGTAGCAGGGGGATGGTAGAATCCTAGAAGATCCAGGGTGGAAAGGACGTCAGAAGGTCACATCTAGTCCAACCCTGCACTCAAAGTAGGACCATCCCCAACTAGATCATCCCAGTCAAGGCTTTTTCCTCTGGGGGTCTTAAAAACCTATAAGGATGGAGATTCCACACTCTCTGGGTAACATGTTCCAGTGCTTGATTACCCTTCTAGTGAGAATTTTTTGTAATATGTAATCTAAACTTCCCTGGCTACAACTTGAGACTGAGGAGCTTCTAAGGTAGTGGCTGGAACCTGCTTTCACCTTCAGAGCTGAGGTAGCCTTTGAGAGTTTGGGAACTGGTTAATTTTTTTTTTTTTTTTTACCATTTCCTTGTGGCATAACTGATCTTTGAGGCCTTGTCCATATCCAGAATTGTACTTATTAGCAACATGTAATACTGTTTTGTGGGGTTTTTTTCCTTTATGGGAAAAGACTGCAAAATCTTGTCTAGATGCTTTTAAATTCGGTTAAACTTAACCAGCATAGACCAAGTTTAGCTTGGATTTAAATGGAATGAACTTTCTAGCTGCATAGCTACTTCAATTAAAGTCTGTGAAGTCCGTTCTGTGTAGTTGGTGGAACTGTGAACATAGACAAAGGCTGAGGTGTGATATTGGATGTTGCTTGGTTACTGCAGTGGCATGTGATATCCATACCTGAGTGCTGGGTTTGGTTTGAGGGTCTCAGCTCCTGGTCCTTCTCAAGCTGCATTAAAGCTGAAGTTTTAGATGAAAAGTTTGCTACAGACAGAAACTTGACTGACGTGGCCCTCTACAAGGAGGTAAGCACTGTAATATTATACTTACACAGTCCTAAGACAGGGTTCCCCCCACAATTTCAAATGTGCGGGGTGGAGGGGGAGCCCCTCATCTTGGTATCAAGTATGAGGGTGGTAGGGGCCAGGCAGCTGCTGTGGCTGGGGTTCCAGCCCCTACTTGGGGTCAGGGTTGGAGCTGTAGCTGCTGCCTCTGCTCCCCCCGCCATCTTCCCGCCTCACCTTTTCCTCTTCATTTCCACCCCCACATAGCTTCTGCTCTGCCACCTACCCCTTTCCCTCTTCCCCCCCCCCTTCTAACCCTTGCTCCGCACTAGCAGGCTCCACCCATGTTGCAGCCTGAGACACTGAACACAACCCCAGCCCAGCCTTGTTCTGCTTGCACCACTTATACAGGATCTGAGCTGAGTCCATGCTCTGTGCCCCAGGCTAGAATAGGGATGGAGCCTGGCAGTGCGGGGCAGGAATAAGGGTGGGGAGGAGAGCAGAGGCTGTGGTGGGGGCAGGCACAACCAGGGGGTAAGCTGCTTGATCCCCTCACCACCGCTGCAGGGAGGGCAGGTGGTACAGAGAGATGCATATCCTCCAATAATTAGATTCTATGCATGGAATACTATAATTTATAACTTTTTCGTATATAGAATCTAATTGTTAGCAATTCAGGGTTGTCTTCGATTTAATATATTGCAATAGGCACTCCCATCTGTTTGTCATTTAGGCTCTGTCTAGGAGAGTATTTCTCAACCTTTTTGGACTCAAGGCACCCCACATTAGACTTGAACTACCCCTCCATAACTTTTGTGAGCTGAGTGGCATTCAATTTCAAAAACTAATACACACACAAAATAAAAATAATGCCCTTTAATTAATTAAAATGAAAGAGATTGGAATTTTCCTCTACAGGAATTACTGATTTTTTTTTTTTTTTCCTGTGTAGTTTCTCTTGTTACCAAACAGTTAAGGGACAAGAATAATATTCAAACATTAACTGCACTGAGGGAGGAGGAGGAGAAAGGTAAATTGATCTATGTATGAGTGATCATTTTGGAACATTAAAAGACTATTAAGCAGGATACCACAAAAAATCTCAGTTATGATAAGTGTCTGATTAGAACAGTTCCACTTCAAGTTTATCCCTAAAACCCAAGGAACTAGAAAAGTGAGTTTCTTTGTAAACTATTTGCAGTCTTTTATTGTCACAAGCTACATTTTTTTTATAGTTTTGAAAGGAGGCTTAAAACTGCATGTAATACAGTTCCAGGGGTGTAGGTTGTAGCTGTGTTGGTCTAAGGACATAGGCAGACAAGGTCCCTTGGGTGAATCTGATATCTTTTTATTAGACCAACCCAAATAGTTGGAGAATAGTTATTCATTTTGAACACTTGCTGGATCAGACCTCCAAGACTACCATGCCTCTAAACTTCAAGATCGTTTTGTTGACCTTACCGAGAAGTTTGGTGTTTGAGAATTGTAGTGGCATCTAGTAAAACAGATATAGCATACATATTACCATGCCAGAAGGAAGCCTGGCAAAATGTCAAGAGGTTCAAAAGTAGAGGCTATAGCTGTGTTGGTCTAGGGACATAGGCAGACAAGGTTCTTTGGGTAAATCTGATATCTTTTTATTAGACCAACTCAAATAGTTGGAAAAATTCTTTGCAAGCTTTCGGGTATAAATACCCTTTGTCAGGCTGAGGAAGCATCTGCACTTGGTGTGCGCTCTTCCTGAGGTTCAAAAAGAAGATAGAAGAAGGTCAAAAAAAAGTTAGCTCCTTGCTTAGAAGAGAGAACCAATTACAAACAATTTAACTAATGACTACTTCAATTGTCATCAAATGAGGATGCTTCTTCCTCTGCCCCTACTTCCATTTTCATATTGACCAGAAAAGGCCCACCCACTTATGAATGCTAGGCCATTGCCTAGCTGCGCTTTCTTAAGAGTCAGAGCATACAAAAATATTTGTATATTTAGTGTCACTGGAGGCAAGATTTCTTCATTCTCCATCCTTACATTTCCATACATTTGCAGCTATGGCCCAAGCCAGTCATACCCATTTACAGGTTAAGAGAGATTCATAGTTAAGGTGTTCTATTACTAGCTCCAGGCTGCATTTCTGTAGTTCCTGGAGTCTGGCAGGAGTGGATTACATGGTATTAATTATGCCATTGCGATAGCGCCCCAAGACTTTCCTTTGACAACTGAAGTCATTTACTGAAAGGAGGGAAGCACAGTAATGTGGGTGTGTGCTCCCAGTTTTGCTTTGTTTGTTGCTTCATCTTGATAAACATGCATCTTGTCCAACTCTTTTAAACTGGAAGTTTAAACTTTGATTTAAATGGAGGTTGGTTGGGAGGTGGGATAATGAAGAGTAAATGTGCACAATTATATTTGCTAGTTAAAATTGTGTCCTGGCTGATGCGACTTACTGGCTAAGTTCACCAGAAAAGGAAACTTGAATTCGCATAACGTTTTCTCGTGCTGTTACAGGAAACCTAGACTGGCAAGCTTGCATTGTAAGGGTTTCGTGGCAGTGTTTTGGCGCTCTGGTTAGGTCCCAGACTCTTATCTATCTTGCAGTTGTTTGCTTTTTGAAATAACCTTTTTCAAAATAAACACAGCAGGTGTCCTTTTTTTTTTCAGCCCAATGGTAAGCACTTTCCTGATCGCAGGCACTCTTGTATAATTTTTTTAAAGCATGGTTGAAAAACACCTCTCCATTTTGTATAGGTTTTTTTTTTCCATTTTCTTTCTGTTTGGTAATTTCTGCCTAGGAATAAGTCTAGGGCAAGGTGGTGAACCTATAGTATGCGTGTCAGAAGTGGCACAGGCGCATGTGGCAGATTAGGGAGCAGACAGGCAGCAGAGTGGCAGGGAGCAGAAAGTAGAGCAGCAGATCTGGCAAGTGAAGGGGATCAGGGTGATAGTTGGGAAGGGTGTGGGGCTCACCTTATGGCATGTCTGCTGAAAAGGTCCTCTTCCCCCTGCTGGTCTAGGGCTATTCTACATTTCATTTGGTCACTTTTTTTCTGATATCCATTTAATTATATCAGGGGAAGTTTCATTTAGCATTTTTTACACATTGAGGCTGACCAGTTGACAGCCTCTGGTCCACCTGCTACCTGTGAGGGATTGAGTTGCAGCTCTCGGCTCTCACCCTTTGCTGTTCCTCCCCGTCACTTGGGCTGCATGAGCAGCTAGAGCCTCTGGGTTCCCCCTCCCTCCTCTGGCTGCTATTTCCTACCCTCACCCCAGGGGGTGGGACAGAGTGGCACAGCATGGAGAGCTGAAGGCGAGTCTGGGCCTCACATGGTACGGGATGGAGTTTATGCCTGCATGTGTACTGAGGGGTGCCCATGAGGATACATGTTGCAGGTGGGGCTGGGAATGAGGTGGCATTGTGCCTGCATAGTACAGCAGAGCGGGGAGTGACCCATGGGTGGGGAGCAGTTTGGGGGTGGTAGTGTCCACATGGCTTGAAGACATGTCTGCGGTGTGGCCTTTGGGGGACTTAAATTGGACTGCCGTTATGCATTATAATATAATCCACATGTGCCTATTTCATAACTGCTTAATTTACTGAACTGTAAAACATGATGCCAGTCCTTATCTGTTACCTACTGCTTAAGTGCATAATGTCTTTCACCCTCAATGTCTTTTCTGTAATTGCATTGTACTCTGTTTAATTGCATGCTAATTGCACTCTGTTCAGCTGTGCCAATGGCATTTAAGCTGAAGCAGGTGTTACACAGTAGCTATTAGAAGCCTTGAGGGTGGGAGCTAGTCATCTTTTTCCAGGGCTGCCAATACTGCAGCACTCTGAACACTGTTTCTGAACTATACAGTTATAGTATTGGCAGCCCTAAAATTGACTAGTCCCCTTCATCTTGAAGGTTTTTAACCAGGTTTGGGGCTACTATTAGCCTTGAAAATGAGGAGAGCTAGTCTTATTTTTAGGCCTGTGTATTTAGGGAGCATTTATTAAGTGCATAGCACTCTTTCTTCTCTTAATCCCAAACCTATATGCTTTAAACAGGCCAGCCTGTTCTAACTTTCTCTTGTTAGCCTGATGCCTGTACATCATCCTTTAAAATGGTATGAATTGGTCCCTAAATGTAAATCTTTATTTGCTTAATTATTAATGCCTGGATTGGTCTTTCAACTATTCTTGGGATCTAAATCTCTTCCTGTACTCTTAGCTGGGTACCTATGCTGCCACAGAATGTCACTCGTGCCTGCCTGCCATCTGATAATGCTGCTGTTTTCTTTTTAATTGCATCTTACTGGGCAGTGTAATTGATGTAGAGGCATGTTCTGACTTCTACATGATTGAAACTATTGAAGAAAATATTTAGGTTCTTATTACAGTGCATCTGGCTTACAGAGAACTAGCTTACTGTCTGTGTTTTAGTACTTGAGGGAGAGGACATAGATGTAGAGGAGACAAGGGAGGACCCCAGGCTCTGCATGCTAAGTTTGATGCTGTTAACGGGCTTATCACTTAAGGCAAATGAAAGTTACTTTCCAAAGAGGTGTTCAAGGAGACTTGGTTTCAATATACAGACTCCAAGCCAAAACTAGTCTCTTCTGAATAGGTTTGAAAAATATTGCATCATCTATGACAATTGCCTAGTATATGAGGGGACAAATACAGCTGGATACCAGGTGCAGAATACCTGTGGAGTCTGTCTTGGTTACTTACCTTAATGTGGGGATTCCATTTACAAATGGCATAAGAAGATTTAAACAATTAGTAGATATTGGGATAGTTACAAGGACACTGCTAGAAGGTGTTAGAGCTCAGCTACAGTTATACGTGCAGCCTGCTGACCCTCCGGGACTGACAGATTCATTGAAGTTTAGGGCTGGAATGGACCTTGTGAGATCATTGGGTCCAGCCCCCTGCTCTGGCCAGGAAAGACTGCTGGGGTTAAATAACCTCAGCAAGGTGTGCATCCATTCTACTTTTGAAGATCTCCACGGTACGTGCCTGCACCACCCCTGCTGG